AAAGGATTAGGTAGAAGAAACCGGGAAAGAGGATCAACTTGTCTGTGGAGGAGAGGTTGGAAATGAATGGACACAGGCTAACAATGGATCAAATTAATGCAGCAGTATCAGAATATCCAGCTCATTGTGGCAATAATTGATTCAAAAAGATCCTGCCATGATTCTGCTGAACATAAAAAGGCACTTCATACTGTCAGTCAGAATTACTGTTATTTTAGAATAAGAAAAAAAAAAAGTACAAAAGTGACATCGCCACGACAGTCAGCCCCGAAACAAACACAAAATGGCAGCTGCCCTTGCAGAAAGAAGAGGCCACGAGAATTTAAAGGCTTGGCACACAGTATCACAATTAGTAGACCACCGCTGCGAGGTGGAAGAACATTTCTCCAAACACTTCCACCCGAGGCCACTCCTTTCACCTGCCACTTGTTCACATTCAAAACCAAAAAGCAAATCCCCTTTGCCATGTTGTCTACACAAATCTTGACAACAGTTAAGCCAGCGGAGAGCTGAGAGAACCGCTGATCGTTGTCTCACTGTTTCTTTGTGCTCCCCTCCCTATTTGTATCCATCTGTTGTCTTAAACTTAGATTGGAAGCTCTTTGGGGCACAGACCAGCTTTTTGTTCTGTGTGTACAGAACCTAGCACAATCGGGACCTGGCCCCGTGACTGCGGTTCCTAAGTGCTTCCACAATCATGAATAACACTCTTTACAGAATTTTAAAATTCACTTCATCTCAATTCATCTAGTTTTCCCAGGCTTAGCTTAATGGCTATTGCCAGAAAATGTCTGACCCACAAAAATATTCTTAGAGCCTGTCACCAGGGCTGTTGCTTCTCCCCGGCCCCAAAGCATGGGCTGCAACATCCAGTCTTTTCAAGAAGGTTTATTTCTTTACACAGAGGTTATCAAACAAACCAGAAAATAGTCTTAATTCAGTTCTTAGTCTCAGGCTTCAGGGCGACCCCTCCCAGATGATTCCCTGAGCCCCTGACCCCTTGTTCCAGGAATCCACCACAGGAGTTAACTCCACTCCAGGGAGGCTTTTTCTCCCCAGAGCTCAGTCTGTCCCAACCCTCCCTTTCCAGCTGCCTGCTAGCAGCCCTTTATAGGCCCAGGTGTAGTCCAGCCCTCTTTAATTAGATGGATTGGGCTCACCTGCTCTGGTCTTAGTCTAGCCGCAGGGACCAGCTACCCTGTGACAGGGATTATGAATCCCAGGAGGCCCAATATAACTGTGTGATGGGACATAGCCCCCATTTCCTGTAAAGTAAAGGGAAGCACTTAATTAGTTATGATCTATACCTGGGAGGTGACTGATTAATTGCCTCCTGGCCAGAGGAGGTGGAGGCAGGCTGTATAAGGACATGAGGGAGCTCAGTTTGGGCGGGAGACCCAGGAGAGAGGAGTTCGGGAGAGTCCCTTATTCCTGGGAAGTGGCAGGAGGAAGGCCTAGTAATTTTTGGGACTGGCTATGGCCAGGAACCGGAGCTGCATGAGCAGGGTCAGCTCCTGTGGTGGGCCCTAGAGTGGAGTAGAGCCTCGAGCGAGGGTCTGTGAGGACCAGGCAATAAGGAAGAAGCCCAGGAGGGGCAAAAGCCCCTTTTTGTTCGGCGCTGAGGCCCAGAAGGGGATTGAACTGCCAGTGACTTGGCTGGAGGGCCAAGCCACAGAAGACCCAGTAAGGCCGTCCCGAGAAGGTGCCCAGCTGGAACTGGCCATTGCAGCCAAGGAAGTAGCTACTGAGGGCGTATGAGAGGCAAAGTCCCCTGTGATGCTGTGTCCGGCCATGAGGGGGCACCCTAGAGGTAAGGGCAGGCGCTTACAAACTGTAAACAAGGCGTTGACCGCAAGACACCAGCCCCAGGAAAACAACAGAAGTAAAACGAGAAGGAAATGAAACAAACTAATTCTGAGGCATGTTCTTCTTCCAATATCCCACGCTCCTTAGGCATGTGTTAGAAGCTGTTTGCCATCCCCCCGCATGGAAGGCTGCTGCATTTGACTTATACTCTAAGGCCTTGTTAACTGGCTTGCCTCTGAATCTCTCTTGAATGGCAGAAGAATTATCGGTGAGATCTTGCAGTTATTTCTCCCCAGGCAAGAGAGAAGTGGGGGGGGGGGAAGACTGAAGCACCTTCTCACATGGGTTTAAAAGCGCTGAGACGTGTTGGGAGCCTATGGTTATTTTTCAGGGATTGCCACCTTTATTGCTGATCAATAGTTAGCTGGGACTAAATCTATGGGACTGACGTATCTGCTCTGCTGAGTCATTTTACTTGTCCTGCAGTGGAAAATCATTTCAACAGTGTTTTTGTGTAGCTGTTGCTATTCTCTCTTCTTCTGACATCCGCCGAAGTGAGGGGAAGCTCTACGTACATAGGAAAGAAAAACAATCACATGGGTAGGAGAGAGGACAAAAGAAAGGGCAGCTGGGAAGATTGTGGAGAAGAAGCCATGGGGGGAAGATGTGACAGCCACATGGCAAAGAGAGAAATGGAAGAGCTTATGCTCAAATAAATTGGTTAGTCTCTAAGGTGCCACAAGTACTCCTTTTCTTTTTGCGAATACAGACTAACACGGCTGTTACTCTGAAACCTGACATAAGAAAGTGTGATCTGGCAGCTCCAGCAGTCAGTTGGCTGTCACTTGGGGTCGACTTCTGTCCAACGGTGGTATTTCTAAGGCACTTATGCAATGCACGTGTGTGTTTCACTACCCTGCTGTGTGACCTGGGACAAGTCATTTATCACTGTGCCTTGCTTCTCCACTTACAGTATTTCCCTTCTTCACAAGGGTGCTGTGAGGACTCCTTAATGCCCACAAGGACCTTTGGGATGCATGGCTATATTCTTACTGTTTGAATGTAATCATTTAACAGCAATAGATATCGAAGTGCAGTATCCACTTCTCATTGTTCAACCTTGTCTCCTCAGCGTCCCTGCAATCCTTTCCAGGCCTGGGCCTTGTCTCCTTTGCAGCCTTGAGCCTGCAAGTCCACTGCTGTGCACACCGCCTCTTGCACTCCAGTGTAAACATGATGGGAGGATACATGTGGTGTCATGGGGTGAGGTAATACACATAGTCACTAGGAAATCCCAAGCATGTCAGAAGCATGATCCAAAGCACGCTAGAATCAGTGGAAAGATTCTCATGGACTTAAATGAGCTTCAGGTCAGACCCCAGCTTCCTTATTTGCAACAGCACAGGGTAAAAAGGGGGTGGTGGGCATTGGGTGGAGAACAGGCATGTCTCAGAAGACACAGGCTTAGATGTGATTTTCATCACACCGATGAGTCACATAGCTACACACTGCCCTATCAGACCTCAGTCCTGGCAGTAGGCAGAGTTATTGGGTGGCTGTGTGGCAGCATGTTCACGAATGCAGGACCTTGCTCTCCTATCCCTGTTCAGCACTCCTTCCCTTGTGTTCACACATGCAACACTTTGCACCGGGTGGGATCAAGCCTGTTAAACTTATGGCTGTAAAGTGCTGTGCATGCTGGCAGGGGGGTATAAATAACACTGAACGCTGGAAGCAGCAGGACATCAGGAGCCTGGAGATGAACTGGGAGGCTGTTTTACCTCCCTGCGCCGGGACGTAATGCCTCTGCTCAAGCAGCCCGAAATTGCCCTGGCCTCTCTTGCAGCCACATCATGTGGCTTAGCTGTCCACCCTCGCCAGTAGGTCTCTTTCAACAAGATTGCTTCTTAAACACTCCCTTCCAATGGATAGCTGTGTTCAGACGATGTATCCCCAGCTGTATTAGCTTACAGCTCTCCAAGCAAAATCACATTTTATTGTTTTCTGCCCTTATTTCAAAATTCTCTAGAGCTTTTTACATTATTTTTCTATCTTTGTGGGTATGCACAGCTCCTCCCAGCATAAGCTGGGAAGTGTCATTAACATGTTAACTCCCTTTCATGCATCACTAATGAAGATGTTAATTAAAATCACCTCTGGCACCAATTCCTATGGCACCCCATTACCTCCCCCAGCTCCATACGTGGCCCTTTGCTAACAGCCCCTCGCTTCCAACCCATATGTCAGTAATGAGACGCAGAGCTTTGACTAAAACTGAAATATGACATCTTTGGCCTCCCCTGTGCCTGGATTAATCCTTTGGATTACAGGAAGAGTCTGGAAAATGTCAGGTTTCTAGGGCTTAAGGAGAAGGGAGAGGAACTGAACTTGATTTCTGGTTCTTCCTCGGAAACAGCCTCTGGGTAAGTTCCTGCTATCCCCTGGCCTCAGAGGCATGTTCAAAGGCAGCCAAAATCTCTGCCGTAAACAGCAGCTCAGGTCCACCCAGTGAGCTGGATTCTAGGATGGTCAAGGCTTTAGGCATGCAAAGGTGACTCTCTTTGAGGAAGATTTCTAAGGCAAGAGTGTCGGGGGGTAACCCAAGGCCCCAGACAGCTGCCTCTCCCCACACACTCCCCATCCAACCCTAGCAGGGTGAGCCCCAGGGGTCAGTAATTCTTAGGGCAGCAGAGGCATTGCACAGGGAAGCAAGAGGCTGACCTTTCCGCCTCCGCTGTCAGAAGCAGCATGAGAAGTTTCTCACCCACACACATGGTATATGACTCTCCAATTCCTATCCCACTGGGAGTGCAGGAACAGCGCACGCCCCCACACGCATGGAAGTAAGTAAGACACTCGGTGGCATTCCGAGCAAGATGCTGTTACCTAGGAAATTGTTACTGCCAGTCGTTGCGGGGAGGTTTTTTGGAAGGAGAAAAATCAAGCCACCATAGCAGCCTTTGAGATCAAACACAGCAATCTGAGGTGTCAGGCCCACAATGCTCAGACAGCGGCTACAGCAGGCACTCGAGGAATGGGTGTCTAGATTTGCAGGTGCTAAACCTACTGGACAGACCGCCAGGGAGACTTAAATCCTTTGTGCACAGAACAAGCAATAGCAATGCGAGCCCCTTTTCTACTGCCTCCTGCCAACGTGCTTCAAGCCTGACCCGTGCTGACCCGCTCTGGGCTGAAAGGGTAGCCTCCAGGTTAGTTCAGTCCTTGGCTTCGCTGCTGGAGGGTTCTGTTTAAAGCCAAGGTTGGTTGTGGCTTTATGAGTTAGACACATCCGCTGTAGAGAGGTGCCATGTAGGTCGGAGCCAGATCTCGATCTGATTTTCTCCCATAGTTCCAGGGCTGTTCAGTTGGTGGGGGAAGGGCACCACTCACTTGTTTGGCCAAGCACCTTTCAGATGGCAATGACTCGGTCTGTAGCACAATCAACCGGTACTGATGATCTGGCGGGGGGAGAGTTTCCATGTGGTTAAGACGGAAGGAAAACTACTTCCTCATGAGCTGGTGTGGCTGCCTGCCTGCCATCTCAGAGACTCCTAAACTTGATTAACATCAGCCCATCCCTCCTCTGCCTCCTACTAAGCCACTTTTGTAGGACTCGCTGCTTGCTGGCCTTTAACTCAGATTTCCTTCAGTTAGGAGCCTGTGCCGTTGACCCAGTCCGAGTACCTGGCACAGACCCTCAGCTGGCGGACATCAGGGTAGCTCCACTGACTTCAATGCCCGTTTACATCAGCTGAGGATCAGCCCCCCGTCTGCCAGATCCTCTGCCTACTGTCACCTGGAACAACACCAAGTTTGTGCAGGGAAGAAGAGCAGCTTAGGTCCAGTGCCTGCTACCTGGCTTGGGTAGCTGCTGTCTTGAAGGGGAGCACAGCGGAGTCTCTGTGGGACCATGTTTGGTCACTCACATTTTGGTGCTCCACTGTCATCCCTAGTCCCATACATACGCTGGCCCTGGGGCAAGAAAGGGTGAATCAGTGTATGCGTCACTGGAGAGAAATTGAACCAAATGGCCGAATGCTGTGCTAATGACTCTATCTGCTGAGCCAATAAGATATCCCGTGACACGGTCTTACCACTGTGAAACACCTTGTGGCAAGTCCTTGCCACGCGAGATCACCCGCTGTTCTGAAATGTCCCCTTGACACGCCTGCAACAAGACAAAATGCCCCGTCAGGAGATCTTGCGGCAACACCATGCCCATGGTACGATTACACCGTTACAGCAAGTTCTCCCCACAGCTTCATGCCCCGAAACGGGATCTCACCACAATGAGACGTCCCACAATAAGCTCTCTCTGCAACAAAAAGTCTACTGCTTGCAGTGTGCACCACAATCAGATCTCACCATAGTGAAAACATGCAACCACAGGTGCGCAGGGGGTGGCGACACACTGGGTCCAACTGGAGGGGCCCCGTGACCACTCTGGAAGGAGGATTGCAGTCCCAGAAACACTCCTTGAATGCGCTGCGTCAAGGAGCTGTGTGGGTGACGTGGGAGTGTGAGACGCAGAGCGATGAAATCCTTCACCTTGCTTTTCAGCCATTTCAATAGGGGCAGCCAATGCAAGCGGAGGGGAGGAGCGGGGGGAGAAGAACGCTGCTGACAGGTTTCATTGTCAGAGCCCTGCAGTCAGTCGCTCTCATGCAGCAGCAGGCTAGGAAAACAAATAAAACCGACATTAAAAACAAAATCTTTAGCCACACCGCACACAAATATCCCCTCTCTAGCCGCTGAAGTGCTGCGGGGAAGGGACGAGTGCTGATCCACAGCACATTTCCTGTGTCCGCCTCCCCACCGGGCCTTTGTGGTTCCTTGAAAGAAAAAGGATGTTGTGGACAAAAAGGACCAAACTGCTGGGGCAGAGAGGCAGTGGGGGAGGGGGGAGAGGAAGGAGGAGGAAATAATAAGGGACACACAAATGGTTGCAAACAGTAAAGGGGGTTGATATGTTCACGCCCCTGGTTTGATTGCTTTTCTCCTTTCCTGAGCAAGTTGTTGACAAACCGCCAAAAGGAAATTTCAATGGTAACCGAGGTGGGGGAGGCGGTGAATGAATGACGCAGGCACTAATGTGTGCTGCTCCAGGGGAGACCAAGCAAGGGGGAAAACAGGGAGGCCTTGTTAATGGGGCCGTGGGGTGGCCCCGTGACAGAAAATCTGGACAAGATGCATGGGCGTCACTGGCACAAACTGGCTACCTCACGCTCTCTGCCGTGTAGCGAGTGACTGATCCCTGCAGAGCGTGTTGGGAGGCCTCCTGGAGCTGTAGGAGCACAGTGTGGCCACCTCAGGGAGCCCCGAAAACCTTCCAAGAATTGTGGGGGAGAGGGCTCGAATGAGCCAGATCTGTCCATTTTAGTCCTGATTCTCCACTCACACCAGCATAAGGCCTCTACTCAGCAAAGCACTCAAGCATCTGCTTCATTGCCGTTGACATTCTGTAGCAAAAAGTTTGTAACTATCAGCAGAGAAGCCACAGAGACAGAACTCTTCTCTCATCCCAAGAGGCAGTCTCTCCTGATCCCAGCTGAGGCACAGGAGCAGGACAGTGCGGGGGAAGGCTGCTGTATCTATTCTATTTCATCTCTGTTTTGGGGCTAGCTGACAGGCTTCGATCCTCCGATCACTTAGCCAAGCACAAAACTATGCGATGCAGAAGCAGGGAACAGCTCCGTGCACCTGCCGAAACAAAAATTGCGTTTGATTGGGTTGTTTTGTTTACCTTTAGTTTCTTTTATCTGTTTATCCCTCTTTGGGGGAACGGTTTGTTCTACACAAATGGATTGGCTCAGTGGCACCATGGCTACTATAGATAATCTAGAGGCAAATATGTACCCAGAGTAACTCAAATGGACCAGGAACCAAAAATGGCCAGTATCCATAAACTCCTGTTCAGTTGTAGAGTGTCACTCATTGCTGGGACAAAGAAAGATTTGCTATAACTTTCAAAGTCATGGAAAAGATTTCTGTGCCATGCCATTTAGATGTTGATGATTCAGTAGGTTTGATCTTCCTGCTCAGTCACTGTTGAACCAATACTTGTTATCACATTCAGGGACACAGTGCTACCAGCTTTCTCATGACAAGAATCAAACCAAGGCCTTGGGCACTTCTAGTCATTAAAGATCTCGTGGTATGAGGTCTTTAACTTGCCATGGGAGAAGCTGAGCACTGATTTGTTTTAATATCGCTCTCCCCGATTCATGGAAGATGGGAGAGATTCCAGAAGACTGGAAGAGGGCAAATATGGTGCCAATCTATAAAAAGGAAAATAAGGACAACCCGGGGAATTACAGACCAGTCAGATTAACTTCTGTACCCGGAATGATAAAGGAGCAAATAATTAAACAATCGATCTGCAAACATCAAGAAGATAATAAGGTGCTAAGTAACAGTCAGCATGGATTTGTCAAGAGCAAATCATGTCAAACCAACCTGATAGCTTTCTTTGACAGGGTAACATGCCCCATGGGTAGAATCATAGAATCATAGAATATAAGGGTTGGAAGGGACCCCAGAAGGTCATCTAGTCCAACCCCCTGCTCGAAGCAGGACCAATTCCCAGTTAAATCATCCCAGCCAGGGCTTTGTCAAGTAGGGGGGTAGGGGGGAAGCGGTAGACGTGATATATCTTGACTTTAGTTAAGCTTTTGATACCATCTCACATGACCTCTTCAAAAACAAACTAGGGAAATGCAACCTAGATGGAGCTACTATAAGGTGGGTGCACAACTGGTTGGAAAACCATTCCCAGAGAGTAGTTGTCAGTGGTTCAGTCATGCTGGAAGGGCATAACGAGTGGGGTCCCACAGGGATCAGTTCTGGGTCCGGTTCTGTTCAAAATCTTCATCAGTGATTTAGATAATGGCATAGACAGTACACTTATAAAGTTTGAAGACAGTACCAAGCTGGGAGGGGTTGCAAGTGCTTTGGAGGTTAGGATTACAATTCAAAATGATCTGGAGCAACTTGAGAAATGGTCTGAAGTAAATAGGATGAAATTCAACAAAGACAAATGCACAGTACTCCACTTAGGAAGGAACAATCAGTTGCACACATACAAAATGGGAAATGACTGCCTAGGAAGGAGTACTGCAGAAAGGGATCTGGGGGTCATAGTGGACCACAAGCTAAAGATGAGTCAACAGTGTGACTCTGGGATGTATTAGCAGGAGTGTTGTAAGCAAGACATGAGAAGTAATTCTTCTGCTCTACTCTTCACTGATTAGGACTCAGCTAGAGTATTGTGTCCAGTTCTGGGTGCCACATTTCAGGAAAGATGTGGACAAATTGGAGACAGTCCAGAGAAGAGCAACAAAATTGATTAAAGGTCTAGAAAACATGACCTATGAGGGAAGATTGAAAAAATTGGGTTTGTTTAGTCTGGAGAAGAGAAGACTGAAGGGGGACATGATAACAGTTTTCAAGTACATAAAAGGTTGTTACAAAGAGGAGGGAGAAAAATTGTTCTTCTTACCCTCTGAGGAGAGAACAAGAAGCAATGGGCTTAAATTGCAGCAAGGGAGGTTTAGATTGGACATCAGGAAAAACTTCCTAACTGTCAGGGTGGTGAAGCACTGGAATAAATTACCTAGGGAGGTTGTGGAATCTCCATCATTGGAGATTTTTAAGAGTAGGTTAGACAAACACCTGTCACGGATGGTCAGATAATACTTAGTCCTGCCATGAGTGCAGGGGACTGGACTAGATGACCTCTCGAGGTCCCTTCCAGTTCTATGATTCTATTATTCAGTAACCCAGAAAACATCCCCTGGGATATAGCTGTGTTTTTAGAAGAATGACTTTAGGAGTAAGTGCTGTGAGAGGGCAATGGAAAAGCCTGCTCCCTGCAATGGGGAATGAACCGGGGACCTCTAACCCCATCCTGTATCATTCGTTGCTGTTTATAAAAAGGATAGTTAAGACTTTTCTAGACTACAGCCATACAGTTAATCAGCCTAAAAGGAGGGACATAGTGGACTGTGCTTTTAAGTGTGAACGTAGCGGCACATACGAGGAAGTGTAACCAGTTGGATCTGGGATTGGTACATGTATCTTGGGCTGTGAATGAACTGCACTAAAGATCAGGCTGGTGAAACTTCTTGGGCTGTGTCTCTTTGTTGGCTTCCTCTGTGTCTGATAAAGTGCTAGATTAGAGCTGGGTGAAGTTTTTCGGACGAATAGTTTATTTGCTGAAATATGCAGTTGCAGATTGCCCAAAACAATTCACCAATTTGCCATGAATTTGCTGAATACTTTTGGCCAAAAAATATATTTTTAGGCTAGATTTACAAGGGGACTTGGACACCATTTACGGAGAAGGTGGTCATGCCGCCCCAGAATAGCCATTAGCCTGGTGGTTATGGCACTCAGCTGGGAGAGAGGAAACCTATGTTTGAATCTCTGCTCCAGAGCAGGGATTTGAATCTTACTCTCCCACATGCCAGGGGAGTGCCCCAAACACAGGGCTACTTGGTATAAAGATGGTTCTAATTTAGGGTTGCCAAATGTCTGGTTTTCGACTGGAATGCCCGGTCAAAAAGGGATCCTGGCAGCTGTGCTGACCAGGCCACTGAAAGTCCAGTTGGCCGCAGTACCAATGGGGCAAGCAGGATCCATCCCTGGCTGTGCACGGCTCCCGGGAAGCAGCTGGCATGACCCTCTGGCTCCTAGGGGGAGGGGTGGCCAAGGGGGCTTTGCGTGCTGCCACCGCCCACAGGCATCGCCCCGAGCTCTGGCTTCGCAGCTTCCATTGGCCGGAAACCACGGCCAATGGGAGCTGTGGGGGCGGCACTTGCAGGAAGGGGCAGCATGCGGAGCCTTCCTGGCCATCACTCCACCCAGGAGCTGGAGGGACATGACACTGCTTCTCTGGAGCAGCCTAAGGTCAGCGCCACCCAGAGCCCACACCCCACACCCTGTCCTGCACCCCAACCCCCTGCTCCAGCCCTGAGTCCCCTCCCACACCCCAACCCCCTGCCCCACCCCAGAGCCCCCTCCTGCACCACAAACCCCTCATCCACGGCCCTACCCCAGAGCCTGCACCCCCCCAGCCAGAGCCCTTACCCGCTCCCGCACCCCAGCTCTGTGAAAATGAGTGAATGAGCGAGGGTGGGGGAGAGCGAGCGACGGAGGCGAGGGGGGATGGAGTGAGTGGGGGCGGGGTCTCAGGGAAGGGGTGGGGCATCGTGGGAGGGATGGGGGAGGAGAGGCATAAGGGTGTTCAGTTTTCTGCAATGAGAAAGTTGGCAGCCTTATTCTACCTCCTCCAGTGCTCTTGTGACTCTAACCTTTCATTTCCTTCGGGTGGCGGGTTCTGTGGTTCACGGGTCCCCCATCTCCTCGGGGTGCACTACAGATGATAGTCCCAGCAACTCCTCTCCAGGGT